CGATATGTTAAAATAATGGCTGTATCTTGTTTTACTACCGTAGATATACTTCGAGTAAGTTCTTTCCGTCCTAAATACCACTATATCAATGTTATATCGTTTTCATGTCAAGACATTACAACATAAAATTTATTCGAACGATATAAATTATTTAAGATAAACCTGTGCAATAATATTTTTGTTGTTTATATTTCCCAGTAGCAACACATCTATTTAACCATGGACAGAACCTTAATAGACAAAACTTATATTTAAAATTTAAAAAACTGATCATGAAAATAATTGAAAAAAAGCTGATGTTCTTCAAACGGCTGAACAGATTTTCTTGAAACATAGCTTACAACACTCTTCAACGGTGTCAATCTTTCAAACGAAAAAAACTTAATCAAAATCGGTTTATCGGTTCAAGAGCTATGATGCTACAGACACACAGATACACATTAAAAACTTATAACACCCCTCCTTTTATGGGAGATTAAAAATATATCGTGGACATTTGAAGTCCGCCAGCACGCACTAGATCAGTGCGGCGGTTTTAATATAACATAACATAAACACTCACGCCTGTCACCCAGAGGGGTAGGCAGAGACTACAGACTTCCATTTAGCACGATCCTGACATACCTTTCTCGCCTCTTCCACATCCATATACCTACGCATACATGCTCGTCGGTTAAGGGTACTCTTAAATTGGCCCATTTTTAGTATATCGCCAATTTGGTCGACAAACTTCCGCCTAGGACGTCCCTTTCCGACTCTTCCATTCACTTCTGCAACATATATTTGCTTTGTCAGTCTTTCCGCATTCATTCTTTCTACATGACCAAACCACCGAAGCATTCCTTTCTTAATCCTGGTCACCGCATCATCTTGCAAACCACACTCTTCTTTTATCACACAGTTTCTCACCCTGTCACTCAGATTCAGCCCTAACATACTCCTTAGCGACCGCATTTCTACTGCATTTATTCTACTCTCGTGCTTCTTCTGCCACACCCAACTTTCACTACCAAACGTTAAAGTAGGGACTAATACAGCACTGTGAATTGCCATACGTGCCTTTTTTGACGCATTCTGACTTTTCACAATAGAGTGTAGAGCCCCATTTACTTTATTTCCTGCATTCACTCGTCGTTCAATATCCTTATCATATCTCCCATCCCTGCTGAATACACATCCCAAATATACGAACACATCCACTTGCTCAATTAACTCTCTATTCTTATTTCACATACCGTTTTGCTTTCATCTCTTTCAAAAACCATCACTTTCGTCTTACTTGCGTTCACTTTCATTCCCCCTTTCTTTTAATGACCTGTTCATTAATGTAACCATCATTTGCAACTCGGCCGCCGACGACGCAAGTATGACTTGATCATCGGCGTACAAAAGGCATTTGATGGTTAACTCACCCATTCTTAACCCGCATTCTTCAACTTTCAAATTTTCCAAACAGCTGTCCATAAATAGGTTGAACAGCCACGGGGAAGCTACACAGCCCTGTCTGACACCTTTATGGATGCCAAACCAGTCTGAGTAGACCCCGTTGATTCTAACACAAGCACTCAAGTCCCTATACAGAGACCTTAATGCCTGTATCAAACCAGCGCTCAACCTAAATGCGTTCAGCGTTTGCCATAACACATCGCTGTCCACTCTGTCATAAGCCTTTTCCAAGTCCATGAACGCACAAAAAACTTTTTTGCCGAAACCTTCTCGGCGATCATGCGCATGGAAAAGACTTGATCTGTACACCCCATTCCCTTTCTAAATCCCGCTTGCACATCCCAAATTTTTCAAAAACTCCTAACGTAGATTACCTAATTTTCTTCCCACTGTAACTATTGTTACGCATGCTCATATCTTGACATTACCAGCAAACAGTGTAATGATCACTGAATACCGCTAACATCTCAAATGGCTCTTTATTCGTATTCGCAGAAATACTCACAGTCATTATACTTTCCATGATTATAGTGTTGTTAAATGCTTGCACTCTTCATTATTTAAAAGACCGATTCCAGTATACTCTTCATTTCTGTACTGTTTCTGTCAATGTTTCTACCTCTACTCCTTTGCATTCTTCTTCATTTTCTAACAAATACACTTTTACTGCTGTAAGTTTGTGAAAGTATCTCACCACATTCGTCGTACTAAATCTCTTCATTCTTTCAAAAGTCTTGTTAAATCGTATTACATAGTACGCTAATAAATAAATTACTTTACCTTTTTTGTACTCCTTTCGTTTAATTACTTTATCACATTAGATATCATTGTTTGGACTTTTCTATATTTATAAATTTTGGTACCTTTTCTTTGTACACCCCTCTATTTTAATCATTCTTTGCATCGGTCCTCTACGCAAATGTTGTCTTGAAGGGATCACTATTTGAGATAAGAACGCCTGTTGTACATATGCTTCACATTGTAATCTACTCGTCTTCTAATAAATAAATAAATATCAGGACATTCTTTATTTATTTGGTTTGAACAAGGGAGTCTACAAATAGTTATCAATACAAGATATACAAATAAACATACTTCACGTATGCAAAACAATAAAGCTGCGCAGAATAGAAATGTCTCTTCTATTTTAAAAGTGTTTGTTTCTCCAATGAAAATTTTTGCTTGAATTTCAAACTATGTTTAAAGTTCTCACACGTCCCACATTCATAATATATGCGAAGTGTCAATGACACAGAGAATAGCTAACTCTTATTTTTAAAGTATTATATTTCAAAGTTTTCATTTTCCGCATTTATTTTCATCGGTTGCGTCAATTTATAACGAATATATTTTACTTTGATGCTCTGGAGTAGATTGTTTTTTTTTTATATAAACAATTTAAACTGCCTCTCTGCACCGCTTAATATCTACCAGTAGTATTTTTCGTTCTTAGTTTATTATATATACATAATCCATGTATATATTCTAAGTGACAGTTCTAACGGTCTGTATATAGCATCTATATAACTCCTGTTAGATAATTTTCCCAGCAGTTTTAATTCAATAGTGATTTTGCATCCCTATCTCCTCAGTATTATACTTTTCCTATTTCTTCAATACTGTCCGAAACTACGTGCACGTCAAAAGTGGGAATAGTCTTGCCCAACTTTCAAATCATTGGTATGTTGGTATATTTTGTCTCATGTTTTTTTGTCTTATGTTGTTTACGTTGACAATTTTTAGAATTCTTTTGCCAAACCTTTGTGAGACTTTCTAGTACTTTTACATCTGTAATTTGTAACAAGTTTTTCATTATGTTATACTCATAATATTGAGCCCTTTGTAATAAAACTATACCATTAATTATCTTTATTTGATTGCTTCTAAATCTCAGTACCGCAAAATATTTTCTCATGTGAAAAAAAAACGAAAACCTATGGTTTTTTGACTCATCGTTATTAGGAGGAAATACATAAAAGAAGAATTGTCCCCCAATCTAATATAACTGCCATGGTTTCTGGGTCATGCCTACAGAACCCCATTGTTAAACATATAATAATTTTATTATTTCTCGTTACTAATTTGATCAAGTTTTAGCTTTTGACACTGCTTTATGATCTTTATGAATAGACTTGGAAGACTTCCTCTGACTGTTTTTTGTTTACTTGGCTCAATTTTAGATTGTATGTTAAATTTCCATATTTTTATTTAATTTAAAGTATTGAATCCTCAATAGTTAATGAATAAAACCCTCTCTATCTTGTTAATATATGAAGCAGGATTTTTATCAACTCTGGGTAAAATTGTACAACATAAGTATTATTTAGTTGTATTAAGTTTACTATTCATTATAACTATATTGTTTTACTCAAAGTTTTGTATTGTACTCTACCATTCCTAAAAATATAAGCATATACTACTTTAATATCGAATAACATCTATGTAATTTATTCGCAATGAAGGACTAAAAACCAAATTTTGTCTCATTCCATTGGTTTCTCTCCATCCATTTGAGAAGTGTCAATTTATATTTCAAACGGTTTTATGCGTTTAATGTTTTTTTTTGTAATATTATTAACTACCATCTAAGGTCAGAAATTTGCCACTGAATATATATTACATAACGTTGTATATACATTATTATATATAATAAGGTTTAGAGCACAACATTATTAACCCCATTTTACTAATAGCAACCAAAATGGGTTATGCACAATATATTTAGTCACTATTTATATCATAAAATTTTTATAGTTCTTAAGTATTTTAGACAGTTCGTTGGCTTTAAATGAACTTATACGTCTAGGAAGTGTTATTCTTTAAGTTCGCACCTATTTAGTCCGTACGTAAGCTAAGTTTCTTCAGAAAATAGTGAAAAATGTTTCCTTATGGCTGGGCTATCATTCAAAGAAGACACAATGAGGAACGGCAACGGTATGAGTACGAAATTTATATTATAGAAACTGCTTTTTCTTGCATAAGGTAGGTATAAGCATAACATAACCTAACTTTTTTCGTTGTAGGGCTGCGAGAAGGATAGCGCATCGCCATATTCGGGACCATTCCAACCCTTTCGACGTGCCTGCAGAGGTTTTTACCAAATTATACAGGCTCTCCAAAAGAACTGCGCATTTTCAGTGGAGTGTCTTCACCGGAATTTAAATCGACAAAGGCAGCACGGAATTCCTGTGCATATCAAAGTTTTGGCTTCACTCCATTTCTTTAAACATGGCGGCTACCAAACAACGGTTGGGCAGGGGCAGTATTTAGGTTTAAGTCAGCCATCTGTAAGCAAATGCTTACAAGAAGTTGCTGATGCAATTATAACTGTTTTATTGAACGGTATGGTGCGATTTCCAGAGACTGAAGAGGAAAGGGCAGAAAATAAACAGAGGTTTTTACAGATAGCTGGTTTTCCTTCAGTCTTGGGTTTGATAGACTGTAGTCAAATCTCCATTGTTCACCCAAAAGACACAGCACTTGTGCCAGCGAGATTATTTTTTAATCGCAAAGGCTTTTATTGTCTTAATTGCCAATTTGTATGTAATGCAAAGATGGAAATAATTCATTTCAATGCCACTTTTCCTGGATCAACACATGATGCAGCGGTCTGGCAAGGATCCAGTTTGAGCCAATTATTGGAAACCAATTATGTTAACGGAGTTTCAGCTGGTGAATGGCTTCTAGGAGACTCTGGATATGCCCAACTGCCTTGGCTGATGACCCCGTATGCTGGTGCGGATGAAAATACATCTGATGCTAGATATAATTTAGCGCATACCAAAACGAGGGTTCTTATTGAAAAATGTTTTGGAGTGATGAAAACAAGATTTAGATGCATTCACAAGCACAGGACGTTGCTTTATGACCCCGTGAAGGCATCTAAAATAATAGCAGCTGTAGTTGTTCTCCATAACGTGGCAATTAAGAGAAATTAACCTTTAGCAGATGAATTGCAACTCGAAGACAGATTGCGGCCAGCAGATGATCCTCCCAGGGATATGAATTTTTTAAATGTGGCAAGAAATATTCGAAATAACATCACAAGACAATACTTTGCATGATGTGTTTTAATTAAAGATTTAAATTAAAGAATTAATAATAAAACTACTAAATATAAAACTTAATTTCGAAAAAATAGTTTATTTATTTTTATTGATCGCTTCGACGAACATGGTAGCGAACAAAGATACCGAGCGGCCTCTGTCTGCGCATTGGCGAGCGCCATCTGCGCTTGGGCCTCCTCCTTAAAGCCGCTATCTTGGCATCTTCTTGCGGGGTGGCTGAATCGGCTGGCGGCACGAGCGTACGGGGCGTTGCTCGACGCGCGTTGCGGCCCTCGAGGCGCGGAGTGTTGCGAACCACGCCGTCCTCCAGTCTCTGTTCAGGAGTTGAGGCCACGATGTGTTCACGACTGCAACTGATCGTCGCTAGATCCCTATTTGCCGCTGGCATCATCAACGCGTCTACCGCTATTTGACCAACGCGAGATGCTGTCGGTATTGATGACGCGTCCGTCGCCATTAAAGTAACGACAGTCGCCCCATCGTGACCCGCCGTCGGTGTCAACGCGTCCACCATAGCCGCTTCCTTCGGGGGCTCTTCTTCAGTGTCTGAATGTATATCCTGCATAGTACAATTACAAGGATAAATTCATACAATTGTACCACTATGAAGTCAATTTCAGAATACCATTATGCATAAAACTCTTTTTAACATGACTTCAGTATTTATTACTCATACCATTAATAATGCGGTTATTCTGTAATTACCAAAATTGACCATAACGCTTAATGAAAACTACATCAAAATCTAATCAGTAGAACTCAAGTCATAATAAGGGCACTGTTTAAACTTATTTATAAAACTAACAAATCTTATTTATATGTATATAATAATGTTGTTGTGAATAGGTAAAATATACTCACAACTGTTACTGCGTCTAAAATCAACGTCTGCTTGGGCTTTGGCAGTTGAGTATCATCCAAAACCTGTAGTCAAAATAAAATCAACTTAACATCAGACCATTACTTGTAATAAATATCACGACTGCTACAAGCATTGCCATAACACACTCACCATGACTATTTTTTGTTTAACATAAGGATCCGGAACATCAACAATGGGCTGTGGAGTCCCTGGGACAATAACAATACCCTGTAAGAAATTTACAAGTCAAGGATCAAGGTTTTCCGTACATATTATAAAAGGACATCTTTATAATATTAATGCTATGTAATGTATGTAGTTTTCAAAATTAACACAATTGTGATGATTGATGCAATCATGAAAAAATAAGTAAATCTAATATAGAGCTTACAAAAAACTAATGCCAATAACTTACAGCTTCCTCAGCTCCAGGCAATCCATATATAGTTGATGTCCCCTCTATATTTATTCTTTTTTCTCCAGTTCTGTCAAGCAGATATCTGCTGGAGGACCACCTCCAGTCCTTTGCATAGATGCACGCTGTATGCGCATCTTAGCCTTCGCCCTGCGTGCTAATAACTTGTATGTCTGAAAAATTTAGATTATACATTTAACAACAACTAATATCCAAGTGGGTAAAGTAGGTTGATTATAAAAAATAAAAATATAAATTTCTTTGCAACTTTCCGCTAAACATATAAAATGATGTGTCTTACCTGGATTGAAGTGCACCTCCCGCCCTCCCTCAATTGCATACACTAACTCCGTCACCACTAGACCAAGCACCACTACTCTCAACACCACTATTCCAGGCAAGACACACCATCGATGATAATACGACACGTGTTTCGCCTCTACACGAGGCATCCTCAGGTATTATAGACTCTACGGCGGCTGACCGCTAAGTGAGCGGCGAGTCGAAACAGTTGCTATTTATACACGCTGACACAATCACTCCCTACCAAAGTAGCGAGTGACCGCGTCGTGCGATAACAAACCTGCCAACAGTTATTATTATTGTTATGATTATTTTTAAATACTATTATTATTATTGTTTTGAGTGACCGCGCCGTGCGATAACAAATCTGCTACTAATTATTATTATTGTTATGATTAATATTTTAAATACTATTATTATTATTGTTTTATTGATATTATTATAATTATTTATTATTATTAATCTTAAAATTATTATTAAAGATTGGCCTTAAAGATGTTTAACAAAGGTGAATTAGAAACATTTGTTTGTTCATTCAGCAGTGTATAATTACCATTATTACTTTTTAAAATCTCCAACTGCTCCAGCACACACAGTCGCAGCCCCTTATTACAGGTATGTAAGACTTCAAAGGAAAAATGGTAAAATTATATAGTAATTTAAAGTGGTAGTAGTGGTGCTTGGTCTAGTGGTGACGGAGTTAGTGTATGCAATTGAGGGAGGGCGGGAGGTGCACTTCAATCCAGGTAAGACACATCATTTTATATGTTTAGCGGAAAGTTGCAAAGAAATTTATATTTTTATTTTTTATTATAATGGATTTCCGCAAAGTAACGCCTGATTCTATCAATTATAGGTTGGTTATGATTTAAATTTTAAAAGTTCACTGATATATTTAGCACAAAATTAAGATAATTTAATGTATTAAGCACCACTAACTAACCTCTAACCAATCTTTCTGTGTCTTATGAACACCTCCCATTCCATTGAGGGCTTCTGTCAGTTCAGTCCACAATCTTTTGGTAGCCGGCAACTGACAATTTCCTGTTGATAAATAAAGACAAATGAAGTATAGGTAAGTACGAAAACATCATGTTTTATTGGATGCCAATTATTTATATTATATGTTATGATATAAATTAACGTGAATAAATGATTGTAAATGTAATAACAAACGTTGCAATGCGATATGACTACCAAACTGAATTTACACAGGAGTGCATGTAGATAGGATAAGTTAGAGTGCAATTATATGATTATGATCAAATTTCAAATGAACTTGCTATTCTGTAAATAGATGGATGGATGAGTAGGGTAAATCGATAGATTAAAATATAACAATTTACACTACTAAAACAAAAATTCACATGAAATATTTTGTAAACGTACCGTTAATCGTTTCCGGATTCCTCATCAAGAAGTTTAATAAATATTGTTGCTGTTCTTTCTTCATTCTTGGCTTCTTTGTATCTATATTTATTAAAATTTCAATAATTCTTGCGAAAACTCACACAAAAAATAACCACGACAGACTTGACAACTTGACAGACTAGTGGTGTGGTGTTGCCATTTGCGGCGGCAAACGAACGTAATTATATCCATTTCCATAGACGTAGAATTAAGTTCAAATTTAGTGACGTGAACTTATTTTAATAGAAACGTAATAGCTTTAGGTTAAGGACATGGACATATTTAGTAAAATTTTAGTCTGTCATTATTTAGGTTCGAAGAGAAATGCAATCGGACCCATTGTTTATCTTCTTTACTGAGTTTTTTAATTATATTTTGTTAATTTTTTAAAATTGACAATAATCTAAGTCATGAAACATTTTATAGGCTATCTGTTGTCTTTTTATTATTCTTTTAATAATTTAACAAATTTATTGTAATTCAATCTAATGCTTACAATACTATTTTTGTTTTGCGTATCTGTCAAATCTGGTTTCATTGGCAACGTGTGGAGCCAAACATATCACAAGGGATATAATTTGAATAATAGGTTTGGTTCAATCTTTCAGATTTTTCTAAACAGCCTAAATGCTAATTTTTTTACTCACTTTTTGCTTACTTATATTTTAAGTGTATTTAACTTGTAACCTTTTGATATTCCATATCAAGGTAAAACAGTTCTCATATCACATTTTTTCTTATTTCCATGTCATATTATCCACTCATCCATTACAGTCTATAAAAGTCCACAGCTGCACATAGGCCTACCAACACCAAAATGCCTGATAGAGGGGTGTCATATTATGTAGCTTTTTATTTTTTATTTTATGTGTCTACAAAATAATATTTAATAATATACTGTCTTTAGATTTAAAAATGCATCTATTAAATCTCATTTGTTTGGGAATTAACAATTTTAAGGACTAGTAAACTGACTCTCCCTTACACACCTATAATATATATTTGATAATTTTGATTTTGTCCCAGAATTCAGTTATTATTTCTAACTTGTTCTGCCAATTTTTTGTGGACGTTAAAGGTTTACATAACCTTAATAAAACCATGAGTTAAGTTTATTTATAGCACTTATTTCTTTTCATAATCAGGATTTTCTGATACTAAAGAAAGTTTAGTTGTAATCTCAGGGTATACAACTAAATCTCAGGGTGTATAATTTCTGGGTCTGCTGCCCAACGTAAGTAAATGACAGTAAGAAAAACATATATATATATATATATATATATATATATATATATATATATATATATATATATATATATATATCACTTAAAATTTCTCAACGTATCTCTGTACAATGTATCTCAACCCACATTTATAGGTTAAAATACCTATTTACTATTTCATATTATATGATATATGAGTGACGAGGTTATGTTATTTACCCTTAATAGTGAATTTGTTCGATAATTTATCATACTTGTTAATAAATGGGCACAGTGAATGTGATTTTATTATTTAATAAATGTTTCAACTTTATTTATTTTATATACACGTGCACGTACCTCGAACAATAGGAATTTTGTTTACCTTTGATCAGTTGGCTCCATTTTGAATATCCTCCTTTCCCAAGTACATAATCAAATTATTACCACGAAAATACGTAATAAATTTATTTGTAGTAGGTTTTGGATACAAAATATTTGATTTTACACTAAACATATTTAATTTTTACAACAAAAATTATAAAAACACACCGTGATGTCTGGAAAAAAAAACGAAAACCTATGGTTTTTTGACTCATTGACATTAAGAGAAAATACATAAAAGAAGAATCGTCCCCCAATCTAACTGCCATGGTTTCTGGGTCATGCTTACAGAACCCCATTGTCAAGTATATAATAATTTTATTATTTCTCGTTACTAATTTGATGGGAATAATTTAAAGGGGAATTATTCTACTCATATTAAGTTGTGTCGTTACAGTGTTTAAATTGCAAGGCCAAGCATGCGTTACTTAAAAGAGTAGAATCTTTATATAGCATAGTAATACTGATCTAAATCAAATAAAACTCTTCTACAATCCACTTATTAGCATAGCGTTGGAGGATTTAGAGTGATTAAGCATGATGCGCAAGTCACAAATCGAGGAAAACGAAGAAAGTTCACAAAGCTGTTTTTTATCTAGATCTGTTATTATGGCATTTATATAGTGATTACTGTAAGGACTCAAATAAGCTTTGTGAGATCAATAACCGCATCTAAACCGTTAATACCGTTTAGGGGATTATAAGGAGTCCTAACCGCTTCGAACCGCTGGAGAGTTAATACCATGACACCTCTCTAATAACAATCGCTGATAATATAGTAACCGTTTACCGTTGCCGTTAATTGTAACATACATGATTTTAAGCTATTATTTGAAAAAAAAATAGTTCCGCTGGGTTTCTTGCTGGTTCTTCCCAAGAAAGAGGTATTTTTTTGCGAACCAGTGGTAAATGAAAAAAGTGACTTTCAATAAGTATTGTTTATAGTCTATTCGTAGATTTAATCAATGTGTAGTGTTCATGTCAATATAAGAAATCACTATGTAATTATTTTTAAATTATCTGGCTTTTAAACAAATTATAACATATCATATTATAAAAACATTCAATTTCATTTTAAATAAATTAGTCAAATGAGAAAATTAATTTTTGTATGGAAAATTTACCCATCAAAATTTTTAAGGATTCTTAATGAAATGCTTGTCAATTTATTCCTTATAATGTATAAATTACAGTAGTATAATTAGTTTTGCTGCATATAAACGGAGTACTGAGAAATTAACAATTAAAATATGTATCTACTAATAACCTAAAAATGAACTGAGCTTTTTGAAATCCACCGGAATAATAAGTTAAAATAGTGTTCTGTTAAATAATTATAGTATATATAAAATAAAGTTGTAGGTTTATTCAGCACTTATAGATACTTAAAGATCGATGTAAAATCTTTGTATAAGTTCCAGTAAAATATAGTGCTTGTCTGTGCAAAAATGTCGTATGGATTCTATTTTTGACAGGTATTGATTGAATGTAAGTGTGTATACTCCAAATACCAAGTACTAATAAAGTCATACGATAAAGCCAATATGACTAAGGGATAATATGTCCATTTATAACGTTACCAACACACGGTAAGAAATATGTTTTAAACTGGTTGTATTATTATTTGTGTGATATACATAAAATATAATGTAAATCACACTTGGTAATGTATTTATTAACAGTAGTACAGAAACAAACTTTTTTTTAAATATAGATTATAAGTAATACTTATTGAAAGTCAGTTTTTTATTTACCACTGGTTCGGAAAAAAACCTCTGCCTTTTGATGAACCAGCAAGAAACCCAGTGGGATTTATTAACAGCTTGCAATCATGTATGTTACAATTAACAACACAGAAAAGTTACAAATAGCTTGGTAGCCATCACCTTACCCAGGGGTTATTATCATCCATAAATTCCTTACTATAATAACCCTTTCCATACAAACTTAGTTTTTGAAATTTGATGATTGATTGAGATGGACAGACAGGGACGTTGTCAAGACTTTGTTTTAATTTATTTTGTTTGATCAGTAAGTACTTAAACATCGTAAAAAATTACTGGTTGATAACATATCAAAATAACTTGGTAGTATCATGCTTATCTATGTTATTACACAATGATAAATAGTGAGCAGCAAACATCTACCGAGTCCAAATGTAAGTATAAACAATCTAGGGATCCATTCAAACACACACAAAAATTTTCATCAAAACAAGTTGGATGGTTTTAAAGTCTATACGACATAGGTACAAAATTTTTTGTGTTTTATATAGATAGATTTTCAATAATCATAATTTCAAAAAATAAATTGAAAACTACTTGATGGTAACATGTGCATTTATGATATTGTTAGCAATCAGAAGGGCATTTTCAATAATAAGTGATATGATATAAGACTGTTATCGTCATCATTATCCATACGCTATTTTTGTTTCTGCCTACGGGCAGCTCTGTAAGCAGCAGTTCAGGCTGTAAGGCATACAGATTTGTTCTAAGCATTCCACCTAAAAAGAAAATAATGAATATTGTATAGGTTTCTTAGCTAAATAATAATTCTTATCAATGTACTATTATTTCTGTATTTATTTCAATCCAAATAGCTAGTTACATACGCCTACCGAGACCTTTCAAGCAATCAAAAAGTCACCTACTATACAGCACCGCCTTCTGGCAAATAACTGCATGTGTATAGACTTAAGAATACACAATACAGTACGTAATTAAAAATCCAAAACGTCTTTAAAGAAGTGACTCAATAAACTAACGTGACGTAAGAATATTCAGTAGTATAAAATCCAAGGTAATTTTTTTAAGACAGCCTAGTAGTAATTAATTAATTAAGTTTGTAAGTTAACTAGTCTAGTATCCCTGTGTACATTACGGTGTACATTGTCACAGTAATTAAGTTAACTTGTAAATTAGAAAATAAAAGTAATATAGGAAAAAAGTTTTCGTCTCCTTCCACTTAAACTCTCCCTAAGCTGCCGCAAATATAACTGGCGCAGTCGGTAGTCGGAAGGATATTGCACGGACCTGTGGCAGAAAC